TGCACAGGGACCTATTCTTTCAAGGGGGCCAACTTTTTTTAGTATATGAATTATTATCCCAAATCTAAGTTCCAAGATAGTCCATATTAATTTTCATAGTCGTACGCGAGAACGAGAACAAAAGCAGCAGAACAACGATTGGTAAATCGTGAAATCGTAGTAGAAGCAGCGATTTAGTGCTCTGACTTCATCATACAGCAACGAGTGAGAAGGGTTTAGGGTCTCATTCACTCATTTGAATCACATAATCAATTATTATCAGGTAATTGATTACCATCAGTTCATCACCGGCCATGGAAACTCTCTTTTAGTTTAATTTTTGTTTCTCTATCTTTTATATATGGTGTATCTCCTGTTAACTTTTTCCAGGCATGTTAAATTCCATGTATATGTTGTTTTTGCTTGAATTAGCGTATAATAAATCACAATTGATAATCAGTTATTCAGTTTATAATTGATTGATTGAATATTTCATAGTCAATAGTTGAATGAATAGATTATCCAATATAGAAAACAAAATATTGAACTTGAATCATTATCAGTTTGACAATTTATCACTTGTTCACTTTATCATAATTTTAATGACTTCATGTTGAAATTTAGATTATATGTTTATTGTATAATTGTTTATCAGAATTCAGAAATAAGAATGTTGAATCACTATCACTTTATCAGATTATCATTATTAATTAATGTTGAAATTCTGAAATCTGATTGAATGTGGAATCAGATTATAACTGATTTGAAATTAGATTGTTAGATTATGTTTAGTGTATAACTGTTTATCAGAAAACATATATGGCTAATTAATGGTTTTGATTCCTTAGATTGTATTAAGTTCCATTAATGGTGTTGATCCCAATTCAAGTAGTAAAATTCTGAATTTGGTCTAAAAGTTTGAATAGGTTAAATTATGTTCAAAGTAGTGAGTTTAAAGACTTAATATGGCTAATTAATGAGTTAAATCATATAATGAATAAAAACAGTCTAAAAACACTTCAATGTAGTTAATATAACTGCGAATTAAGTTCGGAAGTTGTTTTGTTGGGTTTTGGTAATTTTTGGACAAAAGGGCATTTTGGTCCTTTTTCCTGAAATGATTAATTCTATCCCTTTTAGAGTGATCTAAACATCAAAAGAACAATGCAAACACCTTCTAATATGTTAGTAGACCTTGTGTTTCAAATTTCAAGCCAATTGGACTTAAAATGAGGGATTTCATCATCTGCATCATCATTCTAGTTACTCAATCTTCCAACTTTTGCTTCGCATCCAGCTGCCTCCTCTTTCTCTCTCTTGTTCGTCAATCTTCCAACTTTTGCTTTGCATCCAGCTACCTCTTCTTTCTCTATCTGCAATTTAATTCAACATTCAATCAACAAAATTTGTAGAAACTACTCTAAATATGCACAAATCGCCTAAAATGTGCACAATTTTTTATTTCTAAAGGCCTTTTTTTTCTCGCTCGTCCTGGACATTTAAATCCTTGGGACCGGTCCTGTTCATTATATGTTGAACCAAGATAAATGTTAAAACACACATAAAGATAAATGAATAAAATTAAAAAACTAAAAATTAATGTATATAAACATAAACAAACAAAAAACCATAACAATTGATCCTCAAAACATTATACTATTATAGTTTGTAGTGACACTTTTGATATTTTTATGAAATCTAAAATTTATAAACTTCAAATCATTTTTACAAACTTCACTTTCACTTGATGCATGTAAGTGTCATATAATCTATTCTTAATAAAAGACTCTTTTGGATGCCACATGTCCCCCTTTTAAACCAAGGTTTTGCCACATGGCACTCTATCAAACAATTTACTATTGTGTTTCCCGCTCAATGTTTTTCGATTTCATTAGGTTTTTTTTTTTTTGTTTTTGATTTTATTGATTACACCAAATCCCTTAAAATCAGGAACACAGTTACCTTCCTTTTCTCCGTATATTGTGTCACCGTTATATTTTTTTTTCTTCAGATTTTGTTTATCTTCTACACTATCCTCATTTCACTAGACAAACCCTAAATTACCACCAGCCCCATTAATGCCGCACAACCTCTGCCACGATCTTTCTCTGTTTTCATTTTTGGCATTTGCGAATAAGGAGCTCATAGGGTAATATGAGTGAGAACAACATTAACAATGTCGGTCCAAGGAAACCTAATTTTTATTTCTTCTCCTAGGTCTTCACATTCTCCTTTCTCGAAGGATAGTTTGAAGAGTTTTATTTTATTTTATTAAGTACATACTACTATCTTTAAATTGTAGGTATAAATTTTTTTTTTCTGGAAAATGACATCTTTCATTACCATGACTTTTCTGCAGCTAGATCATAGGTTATTGCACACATGATTTTGTAAATCATTTGTTACGACATCAACCATGGTTTACCAGCCACGTTTTCTTCTATCAATCTTATACAAACTGAGAATTCCACAGTTTCATATTTTGCAAAATGGGTTTTGTGAGATTTAATGTAATGAGTTGATGTTCTTGAGGGAGGTGTTCAAGAGGTGTTATTAATTGATGGCTAAAGACCGAAGCTTAATTCCGGGTAAAAGTTATTGTTTATATGATATATGTGTAGTTTCTATAGCCATTTATTTCTAAATTTTATATTTTTATGAAGCATGGCTAACTATTTTGCTCATTTTTTTGGAAGCAGCATGCAGGAAGGAGCAATTCAAAAAATTCATGCAAAGAATTATAGGGCCTCCTCTGTAGGTAGATGCAGATCTATCATTTTCTTCCTAGAATGCAACATTCTTTGTTCATGTTCATAAAATAACCATCTGTTTATTTTATGGTTTTTAAAGCATACTGCATATTTTTTAGTGGCTGTCATTGATTTGAGAAAAGAATTAAATAGTGTTTCCTTCATACGCTACATGCTTTTTCTGTTATTACTTATGTTTCTAAAATGTTTAAGTTATCACGGTAAGTTTTTATATAAGAGCTTGTGGTCTATTAATGTGTATTATTTATCATTTAGTTTTCCGTTTATGTATCACTTAAGTTATTACAATAAGTATTTAGATCAGGGTTAAGAAAACACCACCTAAAGTTAATGTACGAACAAAACAGATTCAAGATGCTTAGCGGTGAGGGAGGGTACGTATATAGTTGTTATTTGATGAAAATGTTTGTGGTGGTGTAACCAATTACTTGAGTTTGGTTAAACTTAAAGTTACTTTAATACATAATTTGAATCTAACTTTACTTAAATAAATTTAACCATTATTAGTTTAATGAACGATTTAGAATTATATAAATATGTTATATTAAGTTAATTTTAAAATACCTACCTAAATAATTAGAGTATTATAATGCTAATTCAACAATTTAAACCATTTGTTTATCGTGACAATTTATTTGGATTACAATGAATTAAGATTTCTTTATTTGGAAATCATATAACATTTTTATTTGAAAGAAAAGGATAATACTCAAAAAAGTCAAAATAATACATCTTAGAAAATAAGATTGTCTATAAAATACTACAATGCTTACAATGCTCGAATGAGTAATGCATTTTAATATTTTTTTTTCTTTTTCTTTTGTTACTGGTTGACAATAACAACATACTTCATATATAAATGATTAGCATTTCTATTTCTTTTTCAATTTTGGCATTGTACTTTTGAAAGTCTTCCATAAATACCATTGTATTACCATGTTTAACTGTGGTTGTTAGTTACTCTGCCTGTTATTTTACATTGTATAAAAATAAATACATGCAAATCTATGATTAATGATTATTATTTTTATTCTTTATATGTTATATGTTATTTTACTTTGTCAACCATGGATTCCACGGGTTATAATCTAGTAACAATAATAAAATCTAAATAAACATTAGGGGTGGCAACTCTTGACCCAACCCGTAACCCGACACGAACCCGACACGAAAATAAGCGGGTTAGGGTTGAGATTTATGACCCGCCAACCCGTCAACCCATCAACCCGCCAACCCGTTTATTTAATGGGTTGGGTTGGGTTACCTGTTTGGGTTCGCGGGTCAACCCGCCAACCTACCTAATATATTTAATTATCTATTTATTTTATTTTTTAACAATCTAACATCATATTATACTATTAGTTTCTATTTATCATATCCTTAAATTTTAATTTGGTATTCGTTCATAATTTCGTATATCATCAGCCATATGTTTGGCCAATGTGGCATTGTGTTGTGGGCTACTATTGGGCATGTGTCTCATGATCCCATCATCCATCTTTGACCTTGACTCCTTGAGTGTTGACTGTTGAGTCTTTGTGCAACCAGCCATTAGGTATTTACGTGCCTTAATAAAAAAAATCGTTCCTCACCTGCTCCAGTCTCCACATGCACGAACGATCGAACGAAGGATAAAGATTAAGGCGTTAAGGACCGATCTTCGATGGAAGCAACATCACGAACTCACGATTTAATCACTCATCCGGCCAATCGTCACCCGCTCCTCATTTGCTCATCGCTGTTCGTACTCACTCTTGTCAGCTTTGACGTTTTCAACCCACCTTCCTTTCTCTTTACGGTAAGTAACAATCTACACTCTGCAGTATGTTTGAACAATTGCACTTTTCATGAATGTTTTGATTTTTAGAGTTTTATTTGGATGTTTATGACTTTATGTTTAATGTTTATTTTGGATGTTTATGAATTTATGTTTAATGTTTATGACTTTTAGACTTCATTTTATTTGGATTTTTCAATTTCATCTTAAAATGTGTTGCTTATTAAATGGATTATACGTGTTGGGTTCGACCCATTGACATGTGAACCCGCCAACCCATATATTTATACGGGTTATATGGGTTGGGTTGGGTTGATGTTTCCAACCCATCAACCCGTGACCCGACAACCCACCAATCCATATATTATATGGGTTGGGTTGAGTTTCTGAATTTCAACCCGCCAACCCGAACCCAACCCAATTGTCAGGCCTAATAAACATGAATGATTGGGTGACGTTTCAGTAAAATGAGTTTGACTGCTAAGACAAAAGTTGTAAAAGTTTAAACAGAATCATCCTGACAGTTTATTCATGATCTCACTCACGTCATCCACCATTAATATGTCACTGACCTTGCTTGAATATCTATAGCTCAACTCTGTGGGTAGGAGGTGGAAGTGATAGAGTGAGGGAAAACCATGCCTGAGAACCTAGGATGTGTGTTGGTGGCTGTCGATGGCAGCGAAGAAAGCATGAAAGCTTTAATTTGGGCAATCGAGAACGTCAAGCTTCGTCCAGAAGGATCTATAGTGATTATTCATGTTCAATCACCGCCATCAATCGCCGTCGGTCTCAATCCCGGTGCTATCCCCTTCGGTGGCCCTAGTTAAGTGTCTAAACTGTTGGATCGAGATTTTAATCTGCACAACTGAGTTTTTTTTTTTTTTTTTTACGCGGATGCCACTTCCTTTTTTGTTATTATCTGCTTGCTTGATTATACTGTAGACGAGAAGTTTTACGCCGGTGCTATATATCCTTACTTTCATTTTGTTAATTTTTTGCTAGCTTGATTTTACTCTACACGATTGATGTTTATGTAAGATCGAGATCTATTATAATCGGTGTTAGAAATTAACAGAGATTCTAATATTCAGGTAGTGTGGAGGTGCCGGCGTTTACTGAAGCTATTGAGGCGCACCAGCGGCGGATCACTGATGCTATCATAAATCATGCTATGAAGATTTGCGCCGATAAGAATGTTAGGTTTCTCAATCTTACTCGTAGATTTTTTTTGGTGTGTACGCGTATGCTTGGGGATTATCTACAAACATTAAGATTGTTTACAAGTGATTCACTTTGGCTTGTTTCTGAACAAGGAGTAGTAACTTTCTTCTAATTTCTTCATTATTGATATCTGAAACTGCTGTTCTTTCAAGATCTTCATTAACTGCAGATCTAATCTATTAGTTTAGGAGCTCGATGTTATTATAGGTTAATGTTATGCTAATTTGCAGGATGATAAGTAGCCAATTTGTATCACATATGATATCTTAACACAGTGTAAGTAAGCTTCTGTTAAGTAGCTAATTTGTGCTACTGACTTGTATCAAAGATTCATATCATTTTACAGCAGTGATGAGAAAAGTTCCCAAATTAGGGAGATAGTGAGAGATGCTTTGTTTTTGTGGTGCCCATAAACTACTTCTTCTTTACTAAGTCTGAGGTATAAATTATAATATACTTATACATATGTATATTTGAAATTATCTACCAGATGGAAGTGAAGACACATATAGTGATTGGGGATCCTAAGGAGAAAATATGTGAAGCAGTTGAAGAGTTGCATGTTGATTTGCTTGTAATGGGATGCCGCTCTTTTGGTCCCATCAAGAGGTAACGTTATTTATATTCATACCTTCGGCCATGTTCATATAAGCTTTTGAGTTAGTTTTTTGCCCATTACAAAGTTCCTTGATCTTGAGGGGCACTTTGGGTATTTCATTAAATGTAGCTCATCATATTCATATTCATATTCATTCCTGTGTATGTATATGCAGGATGTTTTTGGGAAGTGTAAGCAACTACTGCTCCAACCATGTGCCATGCCCTGTCATGATAGTTAAAGGCACTACTTGAAATGTCTGCTTTTGTTCAGCTTCATTGGAGGATCCTGGTCAACACAAGTCAATTCTCTTCTAATAATCTTCCATTCTTGGCAAAAGCTATAGTATCTGGTGCCAAAATTTGGTGAGTACACTGTTCTTCGTTATATGCTTTATCTGTTGTACATTATTGTTTAAGCTATGCTTCTTGAGTTGTACAAATATGTATTTTATATTTTTATATAAGCAAACAAACATTTTAAGTAATCTGGTGTTAAAAACAATTAACAGAATATCATCAAACCAAACCACAAACTAGTTTTCTCTTCTAACTACTATATTAATTACACATCCATAACAAAACAAAAAAAACTCCCAAGTTATCATCACATTGAACACTGCTTGAATATATATAACAAAAACCACAATTTCAAATCAAAACAAATCTCACCATCTTCCTTCTATTTTAAATCATCCCCACCATTGATGAACTGCAACACCTACATCTTTCAACAAACCATACAAAGCCAAACACTTCCAATATGGTCTCTTACACTTCTTACATTTCACACAGTTATACTTACATTCCAAGAACAACTCATCTACCAACTCAATTGCTTTATTATTCACCAATTGTTCAACAACATCCGCCTCTGCTTTCATCACTACATACTCATCATTCCTCACATTTTCCCTCAACCAATCTGTTATCTCAATCTCCACCAACTCCCCCATGGCCTCATCATCAGTATTAGTATTGGTATCAGTAACTTCAGGTACTGTTGTTTCGATTTGGTAGATCTCAAAGTTCATGTTCCTTGTAGGGTAGTTTTTCATGAACCATCCTCCATCTCCATTAATATCTATGAACACTCTTCGTGGGTAGTCTTCAAGAGAATCATGCATCAAGTCCGGGAGATAACGCGTCTTCTTTGAGTACGTGCTGGATTTCCCAGACACCGTTCGTGGAGGTTCTAGAAGGACGTTTTCAAGATTCTTTAAAGCTTCTGCTTTCTTTTGAGCGAACATGAGTCTTCTGTGTGGAATTGTGTTGCTAGCATCGTTCTTATCGTCAATCAGTCTAATTTTCTTCATGGCTATGATCGCGATAGGAAATTGTCTATGGTAAATAATTTCGTAGTTTGAAGGCTTCTGAAATGATTCAGAAGCCTTTGCCTTATGGTTGTCTTTTTTAAGGACAACCATAATGCCATCAACTTTAAGAACCTTATCTATCAATTCTTCTTCGCCTTCATGCATGAATGCAAAGTCATATTTATTTTCAATGCTTGATTGTTTTATCTCTAGATCCGAGTATGACATCATATCCATCTTGTTATCATGAACAATATACAAAGAATCGCAATCTACCAACGTTTCATTAGTATCATTATTGTTAACAATAAAACCTCTATCTTGCATTCGTACCAACCCTTCGCTTGTCAAATTTCGAATGATCAATTCGAATATCTCAACTTCACTTGAATTATTAATTCCAAATTTAACATCATCTCCTTGATTATGAAGAATGAAGTCCTTCCTAACCCTAGATCCAAGCCATGGAATGGAAACGACAAATAACACCAATAGAAAAGCCTTAACTCGATGTTTTAGGAGATTCATATGTGAAAAATCATGATGTGTTATTCGTAAACCATGATGAAACCAATTCATTGCCACACAAGCCGTGAAAAGTTTTTCTTTATGATACTGTAAATTCTGGATCCAACACTGTATGGGGTATAAAGTTACTATGAAACATCGACCACAATTGTATTATCCTTTGCACCTCCATCTTCTATGTAGTTTCCCCCCGATCGACGTTGAAACCATCGATCTTATAAGCGTGGAGGATAGAGGAAAGAGAGAGCAAAGAATCTTACAAAATCCTGCTTGTGATTTTCAGGCGAAATAAAGTTTCATTTTTTTCTTTCGTGTTTGTGATGTTTGTGCACAAAATGAAATAGAAATCGGAAAGTTTGGTAAGATGAAACAATGGTATGGAGGAAAAATCTCACCATTTTTTCATAGGGAAGACACAAGTTTTGTTAATGTTTGAAAACGGTTGACTCTTGACCACTATTAAGGACGTCCCACTATTAACGAAGACTACATTTTTTTTTATAGAAATATAGTCATTTAAAATTATTTACCGAAACATGGTGTACTTTGGATATAATCATTGTAATAAATAGTACAAATTGTAGGAGATACGTTTGGGTCTTATTTTGCTATTCAAAATGTAATAATGACATCAACAATTACTTGAGAAACCTGATTATTTGATAAAGTAATACATAAAATGGCAAACAAAACAATTTTGTGGGGAGAAATATATGTTGTGTGAAGCTCTCTTATATTAGGTTTAAAAGGAGGTAACAAGTAATTTCATTGTCCTATTTAATAACTGCTGCAATTTGTAAAAAGTCGAACCATTATCGGCGTCAGCTAAAAATTAGTACAAATAAAAACGTATTTTATGCTCTCAAACCTTCATTAGACATCAAAGTCGCTTTGGCCGAGTGGTTAAGGCGTGTGCCTGCTAAGTACATGGGGTTTCCCCGCGAGAGTTCGAATCTCTCAGGCGACGAAATATTTTTATTTATAATCCTTTGTTGAATATACAACTTGAACCCATGTACTTATCTTTTTCTTTCTTAATAAGCCCATCAGGTTTCTTTTTTAACTTTCTCCAATGATCAATCACCCTTGAACCACTCTATCAATCTTGTCGTTACGAAACAATTGTTATAGTGTTAACAACACATCATAGTATGTGCTTATGCTCTTTACTTTCTATGTTAAAATAATCACTCTTTTTCTTTTTTTTAATTAGAAAAGTAAAATGTTTACACAATTCTTATTTTATGTGTTTGTGTGTGTTTTTGTACCGGTAGAGTAGTTTTTATATCCAAACTAGGAACATACTCATTTTCTGTCGAAGCCCTTTGTATATGTATTAATTTCTAATAGCATATAATATACCTAAGGTTGTTAAGATTGGTATCTTATATAAGATCGTTTTCCACTTTTCAAGACTGTAATCGTAAAATCGAATTGAATAAGATCCTACCAAAAATATTCTAAAAAATAAAAAATACATATTCATCCACTAGTTAACCATCCAGTTAACAATAAATACTTTAAAATATAAATAATACAATATTTAACGATAAACAATTCAAAATGGTATTCTCCGTATTTAGTCCAGAATATATATATATATATATATATATATATATATATATATATATATATATATATATATATATATATTATCGATCCTACAATCTTACTACTATCCTATTAAAAAACGATTCAAATAAAATTGGGATCGATTTATCTAGATAAGAACTTACGATCAGGATCGTGATTTTAACAACTATGGAATCTACATATCCAATTTTCTATTTTTAATTATGAAATCAAAGGTGTTGCCTTTGGTACTACTTTTTTTTTTTACACGGTCCATAAACTTCCATAAAGTTGGTGTGATTCAGTTTGAGCAACGGAACGGATCTTGAACTGGTACATCTTCGTAATGAAAATTAAGTGTACCATTACCCTCTTATTGTTTTCGGAAATCTAGAATGCATCCGACTAAACTTCCTCTGCTAATGTGGAGCTTGAGGGTAGCTCGGGCACACAATGCCAACAATAGCTCAGGCCCCAAGCTTTCTTCTTTCTCTCTATGTCGTTTGGGGATGTTTGGTCACATCATGCCTCCAAATTGGATGATGGTGCTATTATCTTCGAGCCTTCAAAGCTACAGTAGCCATCATTGTTGACAAAACGAGACCTACGGAACAAGTTTTTCTTCCCACCCTATGATGAACACAATTAATGAAGGCAACTACAATGGTCGCTGCCAAGACTATAAATAGAGACTTCATTCTTCAGTTGTATGCATCCCAAACACAGAGAAACAGAGTGTTAGTGAGAGGGTTGGTTTTTTGTAATAGTTGAGTGTGAGAGTTGCTCCTCCTATTATAATTATATTTTAGTGTTTAATAGAAGAGTTTTCAACCCCCAGATGAAGTGGAGATCACGGTGGTATGCGGTGTGGGCAAACCATGCCCTATAGCCTTACAACCCATCGATCCGGCTAGTTTACAATTGACTTTTCAAGTGGTTGGATCAATCCTATTTGTTCCTTATTTAGTAATAATTGTTTTCTTTTGTGAAATTCAAAAAAAAAAAGAGCACTACAATAAGCGTAGATAAACAATATCAAACAAATCGCACAAACATAAATATATATTTTTCTGATGATTAATGTATGGTATAAGGGTTCTCTCTCTCTCTCTCTCTCTATATATATATATATATAGTAGAAAGAAATGAAGAAAATTAAATTTGAATGTCGGGGAGGAGCTCACATGGGAAACTCTCCATGAGACCAACACCCTTTAATTACATAGACAAAAATAAGTAAATTTAATAATATAAAAAAAAATGTATTTCTCCAAAAATAGAATAAAGTGTTTGTTAAATGTTAGTCAAGAAAATTCCAGAAAATAATTAATTTAGAAAAAGAAAGAGCACATGGATTCAGTAGAAGCTCCAGAGACGAATTTCACCAGCTTCTTCATCGGAGGGGTCAAACGAAGACTCGCTGTGCATCGCATCATTGTACCTTGGTGAATCAAAGACGTTGCACCATGGTGCAACCATCGACATCAAGGTGCCATCAAGTGGATCGTTTTCAAAAGACAATCTTCGGGTTTTCTCATTAGATGAAGTTATTGATTGAGATGGTGATAATGGTGATGAATAAGATGGAGATGGTGGTGGAGATGGTGATGGACCGGTACTTGTGGCAGCCGCCGCCGCTAGTGCTGCCACCTTTTTAATGGATTTTGGAGACATGATGGTGGTGGTGGTGGTGGTGGTGGTGAAAGAGTCATGATCATAATAATGGTCGGGAGAAAAGTTTAGATTTGCAGTTGGGCCCTTAACGCATAAAAGGGCAGCATCATAGGCTCTTGCTGCTGCTTCAGGAGTCGAGTAAGATCCTAACCATATTCTTGATTTCTGATTTGGTGCTCTTATCTCAGAAACCCATGAACCCCAACTCCTCATTCGCACTCCTTTGTATCTCTCTCTGGTAATCAATGGTGATGGTAAAGATGACATTGTCTTCTGTGTCTTCGGCTGAATCTTCTGTTCTTTTTTCGCCATCTTTCAAGTATTAATCCCGAATGAATGAACACAGAATATGAATATATATGTGATTCGATACAAGTCGAGTATTCTGAAAGTAAGCAAATATCTACAAAAACCAAATGGGAAAATTTTAGAATGTATATGTTTAGTTTTGTGTGATAGTTCTTGTTGATGTTATGAATGGAGCAAGATTGTAATATTTATAATAGATGAATGCGAGTGAGATGGGAGAAAAGTGTTTTTTATTCTTCCTTGTGTTTTTTATTAATCTAATGTTCAAATATATTTGGTTAGCTTAAAACAGAAATAAAATTTATTAAATATATAAATCGGTGTGAAAACTATTTTTTCTCCGTTTGATTCAAAATAGGAAGGCATTATTTACATAAACACCCCTTAACTATGACGTTATGTTCATTTATCCCATAGGATAGCTATTCTTTTATGTAAATCGACCGTACTACAATCAATATGTGCCAAAACATAGCATTAGTGTTATATGGTAGAGCAAACAACTCTATAAAAATTGGTAAATCAATGGGCTCTCACATATTTTGGTTTTGGTGTGTGTATATTACGTGTAAGACAAAAAAGAATTTATGCTTTTAAATAATATGATGTAGATAGATTATTTATGCATATTTATCTATGCATATAGAAGTTAATTGCAAAAGGAACTAAAAATGGTTTAAATACGAACAACATGTGATAAAGAGTAACACGCCTCCCACAACCAATCTCACGTTCAACATGGATGAAGTATTCAAAATGTTTAACGAAAGTGACGTTGAAGCTTGAAGATTAGATATGAATTTTCACATCTTTATTTTCATAACTGTTACAGCAAACATGAAACTATGAAAGGACAATACGTATAACATGTCAAATACAACAAAGATGTCATTACATTTTCGTGTCTTTTTTATTTACTTGTTTCGTGGTTTCAATCGGATTGAATTAACTTTTTAATTAACCACCATGCTTTCATATATTTTCTAAGTTGAAGGGCTTGAATTAAAATAGTACAGTTTTGGAAAAAATTTCAAAGACAACCATACATTTGAGGGAATGTCACATGCAACCATTAGATTAATATCACAATTATTTGACATGTTCTAGGCTTTTTGACTTAGAAACCAAGGCAAACCATTCACATGATCAACACAAAAAAGTGTAAGTAAAAGTAAAGTTATTTCTTTATTCAAAGTAATAACGAATGAATCATCCTACTTTTGGATATGTTTAAAAAAATCATTAGATTTGCGACAGTAAAATTGAAAAAGACATGATAGTTACAGTGTTTCTAAAATATAGAAAAAAAACGTTATAGCTATAAGAACATGCCAAAATAAATTTAAAAAAATATATATTGAAATTAAAAGATTTCCATTTATAAAAACTTTTCAATATAAAAACACCTTTAGCCCATATTGTCATTACAAGTAAAGTGATTGTGATGTTTCATTTTTTTGGGTCAACAAGATCTAGTTATTTTGTATTTATCAAAGGATATCAATCAAATTATGGACTATATAAGTTAAATGTTTTTTATTATTTGTATGAAAAATGTATAATGGTTTATAATGATATATTGATATCAGCATAAAAATATATATGAAAAAAAAAAAAAAAAAAGACAAAGGGTAAAATAGTAATTACACACTTAAGACATAGATTGTACTATATCAGTTAGCGGTGAAATAAGTGTTTATTTATACGTTTGTTTTACTATAAGGTTTTGGAATTATGGAAAACCATCATATATTGTATCAAAATATTCCAGGTATTTAATTAATAAAAGATGTCCATGTTAGGGGTGATGAACCATTGAACCTGAAAAAAAAACATTTGGACATAGGATTCTCATTTGTAAGAAGCTTTTTGGATTTTTATAAAGAGATGCAATATTAAAATTCTAAAAAATGATCTGAATTGGAATTTATTTAATACGCAATATATTATTACATTTACATATCTAAGATCAAGGTTTTATCGATACTTAAAAACAAGTACTACATCTATACCTATTTTTGTGTAGCTTTTAACACAAAACGAATTACGGAAACCACTATTAAAAAAGACCGACCAATAGCAACACAATTTAACAACTATATGCAAGTCGTTACTAAATTATCGTGAATAGTTTTTATTTTAATTTAGCAACGACTAGTCCATTGATAAACACGTTCTTATTTAATAGAACTTTAGAGGCAAAAATCTTGGCAATTGTAGCAACGATTTTTGTCAATGAATCGTTGATAAAGTAAGATGTTTTTTTAGTGTTGTCAACTTGTCATCTTTTTATTATAAATCGGCTAAACGTGGTTGTTTTTGTAAAACCGGTAATTAACCTACTAATTTTCAAAATCATGTTTGTACATATCCGGTTGAATCTGGTTATAACATGGTTTTCTATGTATGTTTGTCACTATAACATGTTGGAAGTACGATTTTAATATACAAAATTGAAAGATAAGTTAAAAATAATAATAATAATAATAATAATAATAATAATAATAATAATAAATTAAAGTATGTTATAAAGTAAAGTAAATTTTTTATATAATTAGTTGATTTTTACAATATTAACTATTTGCAGTTCTAACTTAAAACAAAATAAGACCAAATTACATTTTAAAATGCAATAAAACCACACAAATACACAAATAACGAATACTTTTGCGACCATTATGGAAAAAGAACAATGAACCCAAAAAAATAGGCAACACACGAATAGAAGGTAACGTTTTTGCTTGATCTTCGGGTTTCCGTTAGAAAAAAACATAAACCAAAAAATAAAATACCCAAAAAATTCCTCATCTTTTTTCCCTCCTCCCCGATTTTCTTCAGTTGTCTCGCCCTGTTTCTTATGTATCAGAATCTCCATTTCGTCAACAAATGTAAGTGATTTACTTTGTTTTTTGGTGTTGTTCACATCAATGTGGTCGTGAAATTATTGTTATGCAAAGCTAAATGCATGTTTTTGTTTTATTTTGGTTAATTATAGGCTATCATTGTTATAGTATTTTTGAAAGTTTAGGATGAATGTGTATTGAGTTATTGTTCTGATTTCATGTTAGCATTTATATGTTCTTGTGATGAATGTGGATTGGATTATTGTTTCGATTGCAGGTTATTGATTTTGTTTAAACGGCGCAAAGCTAATTCCATCGCATGTAATTCCGGATTGAATGATGCCTAATTCCAAAAACACCAGTTCTGACCCCAAAAACAGCGCGGATTCGAAAAGCAACGATTCTGCTTCGAAGAACCACGCCGCTGATTCAAAAAACAACCATGCTGATCAGAAAAATCACACTTCTGCTCCCAAAAACCATGCTGATCTGACGAAAAGCAGTTCTACTTGCAGGAAAGATAATATCGAGTGGAAAAACAGGATCGATTCCATAAATAACGCTGATGCCCCTCCTCTTCAGGTGAATTCCAAGTGTTCTTGATCATCATACATCCAATTATCGATTGTGATTCAGTTACCCAGCCGCTGTTTTGTTAAAAGTGGCAGCGGGCATTGTATTTTACATTGATGTTTGTTGGATATGGTGAACTTTTTGTTGTAGGGAGATGGTGGTGGTGGTAACTTCCCTCCTCCGTCAGGGGCAACTCAATCCTTGGAGAACCAAAGTCCACGTAATGGCAACAAGGTTTTCCCCCCTTTCCTTCTAAAGCTCTTCTAATTTGATTATTTACTTCCATCGTTCTTTTACTCAAATCTGATTCTCTTCTTTAAACAAACATTGCCCGATTATTTTTCAAATTGTAAACGTGTATGTTACTTACTAGATGTTTCTAAGGAGTTTATGATAACTATGAAGTTAAATGTGCGTCTGATTGATCTTAAAAATGAAGCAGGCAAGCAGCTTCTCACTCTTTCTTCTCTGGAATTTAGGAAATGTTGTGTACTCTATTACACATTGATGCTCACAATGTAGTATGCCACAGGCTAATGTTTGTTTGTTATTTATGCATTGGGCTTTGCTCTACCTGTCTCCCTTCTGAAGATAGTGCGTGAATAGTTGACTTTATCATGATTTCTTGAACTGAAAATGAACTTGTTGAGATTAATTTAATTGAAGAAAATACAATGCCGACTACCCAAATGAAGGGCTTGTTGTTACAAAACCAGGGTATGTTATTTTGGTTTGAGTTTGAGTTTTGTTGTGACTATATATGAATTGCAGGTTTACAAGAGCGGACCACTGTTTCTATCATCAAAAGGTGAATTCTCTTCATCATTTGGTCTTTATAAAATATTACACTAGTGTTTTTCGCCTATGGAAAATCATTGCATACTTATAAACTTGGGAAGCACTCAAGAGTGCTTATCACAAAGAATTAGTGTTTAATATTTTAAGAGACTATATGTTTTTTCCACATCCTTCAATCTGGCACTTCTTTATCACAAAGAACTCTTTAATCATAGAGCATTTAGCATCTATATGACTATATAGTGAGGTATGCATATTTTATAAGCATGCATGTATTCTTATGAGAGGTCATGTTTCTCCTATCTCTTAAGTCTCTAATTTAGATTTATGTAGGGATTGGCTGGACCTCATGGAAGAAAAGGTGGTTTATTCTGACAGAAACCTCATTGGTGTTCTTCAGAAGTGATCCAGTAAGTGACTTTGTATTATTTATCATTGCATTTCCAAAATGTTGATGAGTTCATTGATTCATAGTTTTCCTTTTGATACAGAATGCTAGTTCTGAAAAGGGAGGTGAGTCAAATCTGACCCTTGGTGGCATAGACCTCAACAGTTCAGGCAGGTTGGCTTTTGCTTTCTAAGTCCTATCCTACACTCTACATTAGCTGATACTTATCATACTGATATTTGGTATTTGATATTTCTCTCCTTAATAGTGATCCTTTTTTGTATATTTCAGTGTGGTTGTGAAAGCAGATAAGAAACTCTTAACAGTGCTATTCCCAGATGGCCGTGATGGGAGATCATTTACTCTTAAGGTATTTTTCTCTATTTACCATTTTACCCCTTGTTTCACACTACTCCTGCTTACTGGTTGCTGCTACTATAGGCTGAAACTTTAGAGGATTTACATGAGTGGAAGACTGCATTGGAGGAAGCTTTAGCAAATGCACCTACTGCTGGAACTGGAATTGGACAAAATGGGATAACAAAAAACGACAAGGGTGACAATGCTGATGGCTCTCATGAACAATGTAAGTCTCCTTATCATGCTGATGTCTCAAACTAAAATTCAAGATTCCTTCATTCTTTTCTTGTGTGTATGCTTTTTTTTTTTCAATAACACAAGTCAACTTCTTTTTCTTGTTTTTGGTTTCCAACAGCAAAAGATCGTTCCCCTGCAAAATCTCTTGTCCTTGGTAGGCCTGTCTTGCTTGCATTGGAAGATATAGATGGGACTCCATCTTTCTTGGAGAAAGCCCTTAGATATGTAGAAGAGCATGGTAAGATTCTCAAAAAGTCTTCATTTCTTACAAGCTTGTAGTATAATATTTATGCACTTTAATTTTTATTTTTAGTGACTGATCAAATGTTCCAGGAATTGAAGTAGAAGGAATCTTGCGACAGGCTGCAGATGTAGAACTTGTTGAACGCCGCATTCAAGAATATGAACAGGGTGACCAATTAGTTCTACCACTTTTTTTGGTTTATGATCATATTATACTTTTGCTAATTTAGTTCTTAAAAAAGGGAGAATATATATAAATATCATTTTATACAGGAAAAACAGAGTTCACTGCAGAGGAGGATGGACATGTTATAGGAGACTGTATCAAGGTATATACTCCACCATTAAAAGTGCCATGTAGACTATATTTGTTAATTCATTTTCTTTATTTAGTTTCTCTTCTTTTCTTGACTTTGATTCTTGTTGCTTTACAATATACTGTTTTTTCAGTATGTTCTTCGGGAGTTACCATCATCTCCAGTTCCAGCATCTTGCTGCAAAGCTTTGCTACAAGCATATAGTAAGTTTGTTATATCACTATCTGAAAGATAACTTATACATCAATATACTTTCATATGTAAAATTCTATAATAATGAGAGAAACTTATGTTTAGGAACTGATCGCTCCACAAGAGTCTCTAGCATGCGTGCAGCTATATGCGACACTTTTCCTGAACCAAATCGTCGTCTGTTACAAAGGTAATTAAGGGGATGTAAGGGTAAAATGGTCATTTAGACAGTTTATTGAGTCTAGAAAAGAAACAAATTTTCATGTATACTCTATTCATACATACAACACTCGTATTCTATCAAGTTTCTTTAAATATGTTTTTTTTTGGTACAGAATCTTGATAACAATGGAAGCTGTTGCTGAAAACAAAGAAGTGAACCGAATGAGTGTGCCAGCTGTCGCTGCGTGTATGTCACCACTTCTTCTTAGACCCCTTTTGGCTGGTGAAGTGGAGCTTGAAAATGAGTTCAATATGGGTGGTGATGGATCTGCTCAGCTTATGCAAGCAGCTGCAGCAGCTAATCATGCACAAGCCATCATTATCACCCTTCTAGAAGAATACGACAATATATTCGGGGTACAAAATCCATCATTTTTATTTAAAAGAAAAAGAAAGAAAATAGATCCTAATGTGTATTTGCAGGAAGGAGACATGCTATCTGATCTATACTCTGACTCAGATGAGAGTGGAAGTGAAAGCGAAGAACTTAGTGATGAAGATGATGATGGTGATGGTGATTATTCATCTGAGGGTTCTCGTACAGATGAAGATTCTGAACATGCATCAAGTAGTTGTAGCGAGTCTGGAGAGGCTGACACCTGTCAACGTGACAGAAAGGGAAAGAAGAAAACAGCCATTGATAACATAGATGTGATAGTTGAAGAAAGGTAACCCAGGATCCCATTCATCTTTCAAAATTCAAACACTTCAATTTATGAATCTTTAATTGTTTGTTGTTAGGGATGAAATCTTCAGGCTTGAGGCACTTAAAACTGATTTGATAAAGAAAGTTGAAGCGGAGGTAACAAATTTACGTCTTTTTCCAAATCATTATTGTACACTAAATATTAATCCACTCTGACTACAGACAAAACACAATTCAATTCTGAAAGAGGAATTGTTGAGCAAAAAGGATGCTTTAGGTGATCGTCATCAAGCTCTTGAACACGAGGTATGTAGATGATAGATAATCTGTGGAAAAGACATTAATGCCCTTCTGACATTGAATGGATAAAAAAAAAAAAAAAATGTGGTTTCGAAATTTGAAGGTGGCAACATTAAAGGAACAGTTGCAGAGGGAAAGAGAGTTGAGGAAAGTGCTTGAGGCAGGACTCACAATGTCAAAGAAGATCCTACCCTTACCAGGCTCCATTGATGAAAAGGCATGTTATTAACTTATTATTGTTTTTCTTTAATCTTTTTTTTAGAGAGTAAAGTATTAACTTGTAGATTTACTAATAAAGACCAAGGCAGATCTTGAGGATATAACCCAAGCAGAAGCAGAAGTCATGAGTTTACAACAAAAACTTGATGATCTTGAAATGCAGTTACATCGTGGACAAGGAAAAACGTTAGCTTCCTTTTTCTCTCTCCTCACTTGACGCCTTTTTTCAGTCAGAATTTTTAGAATTCTTTTTGTGTGATTTTGGGTGCAGAAAAGATAAAGAAAAGAGTCGTGACATTTCCAGTAGTTCACGTAAGATTAAGGTATAAATTATAATACTAGAATTATGGTTGATACCATGAGAAATTATATTTTGTAAATTGTAACAAACTAAACAGGATAAACAGTCGAGCAAAGAGCGCCATGAGAAACCTCCTTTCCACTCTTTTTCAAGTAAATTTAATCCAAACGAATCGACACGCAAACGGGAACCCAATATGACCAAGTCGAATTCAATCACTGTCAAAAGATCTGAATCAAGGGGTGAGGTACACATATACTTTTCTTTTTTATTTAAAATAATAAAAAAAAAAAAAAAGAAGAAATGAAAGAAAGTAGATTGACTTTGTGTATTTATTGGTTATGGTTGGCAGGCAGCTAATAATACAAACTCAGCACTGTCAAAAATAACAAACAGGCTCAGCTTTTTGAAAGAAAAACGCAGCCAAATAACAAATGAGCTGGAGACTACTACAGATAAAGATAAAGAATCTGACGACGAGTCATCACTAGATAATAACCAATAATAATTAGGGAAGAATTTATTTTAGAACCAGACCAAAGGTTAAAGAAAGAAAGCCCAACAACACAGATAAAAAAAAAGTTTTACACCATATGCTTATCCTTATGCTTATGCTTGGGTTGTACTTTGCTATTACTTGTTTATGCCATAGCTCGTGTAAGGAACCCATGATTCAACTTAAAGCTATGGCTGCTGCTTTGAAGACACTACCAACATCTAGAGATGGTTGGTCAAAGTTTATAATTTGTTTCCGTAGTTATCGTGTCAGGACTGTTCTTGTAATTATTAGTTATTTTTTCCTTTTCTTTTTTGTAATTGCAATTGCAACACATAATTTTTTACCATTTTTATGCCTTGTTTTTTTTTTTTCCTTCTAGTTCTATTATTTTCATGTTTAAATTTGAATCTTGCAAGGGTGAATCGGTCATTTTACCTTCAAAGATATTTTATATTGCGAATCAAAAAGTGTTTTTTTTTCCTCTCATTTTGTATCTTTATTATTATTATTTTTATGATATGTTTCTAGTAAAACAAGATTGTCAATTGATGGATAAAGTTTAATATTGGAACTAATCATACTTATTAAACATACATTCATCATGCTTTGAGGTATTTAAAACAGCTCAATTGTAAATAAAAAGACATATTTTTATGTTTTTCATCGAACTACCCTTCTCTCATTTGTACAATAAAATATGATATTTAAATTTTTTTCCTAGTCTATGCAATTAAGTGGTTTCTTATAAGAAAATATAATGTTTAAAAATTGGTAAATATACACCAATGAAAAATACAATGTTATATATAAATAGAATCAGGACAACATATGAGGACGATGATTTTGGATTATGATACACTAAACCTAACTTCAGCTTTGGTTTTTGTCATATTATATATATTCGGTTTGTATAGATGCATATGCATTTGTCCCCACTAGTGACTACGACAAGTATATAGGTTGGTTTGATTTTCATACCCATATCAAATTATGATATGTGTGGTATTTAATTTTCTTTAATAATATTTTAATCAATTTGTCACCATTTAACATGGGTGAAAGGATATTTAATTTTTCGTTTGGTAGAAAGATATAGGAGGAAATTATAAGAGGATATTTAATTCCTCATTTGGAGAAATTAAATATTCTCCTATAATTTCTTTCTACCATCAAATATTCAGTCTTAAGTTTGTGTTTTGGTGCGTTAATGTACTAACATTCGGAAAAACTGTTCAATTTTGCACTTTAATTGGTTTTTATCTCCTACAGTCGGTCTGCCGGTTTATATAGGTTGACTAGTCAAATTCTTGCTTACTTGGAGCTGATATGGAGCCACGTCAGCATCTTGCTTAAAATTAAAGGCCATGCAGAAGAAAAGGTTGGGCGAAATTGAACCCACGATATCTAGTTTTATTAAAAATTACTATCTTTTTATGTATTACAATGATATAATTACGTTTTCAATCAACCAAAACTTACTAATAGCATCTGAATCATAAAATTACATATATAGGCTTTTCAATGGCTTTAGCATAAATAAAATGAGTTTTCAATGGTTTTTATGACAAAAAAAAAATCATAAAAACTATTTTGAATAAGATAATACTCTATATTTGAATAAGATAACATATAAATAATATAACAATATTATTTTGCATAGCAAAAGAAAATATAATAAGATTAAAGTAAAAAAAATATAGTTAGATAATACTCTCATCTCATTTTTATCCAGACTATTTTTTATCGTACAAAGAATATAATATAATTATGTACTTCAAAAGATTGCATGTTTTTTACTTACCACTATAGTTGAAAAGACTAATCACTAATCACTATAATAATCAATAATCACTATAGTGATGAATGTCATATTGTTTGCTCTACCACTAACCATTGAATACCTACCATTAAACACATCATTCCACCTTATTTTTTTTAATTATATTTAATTCAAAAACACAACAAAACATATTTTTTTTAAACTAGTTTTTTATTCAATGAAACAAATATTACATTAATTTAAAACACACAACATAAAATAATAAATATAAATACAAAAAAAACATAAACATGCAACCACAAACAACTTAAACTAATTTTTAAACCTTATTTTAAATGACTGAAATTTGGGCACTCTCTTAATTTTCGCCAAGTTTGGCGTGTTTAAACGGTATGTGTTTCGTGTCTTCATATTGGTGCATGACCACGGCAAATGGGTCGTCTTCGTCTACGTTGTTTATAACAAAGTTATAAATCTCATTGAATTCAAAGCATTTAACCCTCTTATCGCGAAACTTCGAACATATTTCATCAAGACTACGACTTCGGCAACCAATTAAATCATGGAAAACGTTTCCAATTTTTACCCAAAAATTAGGAGACATTATGTAACATCTCAAATTCAAGACCAAAAATTTCCTTTTTAATTTAATAATTATAAAATCAGTGTCTGAAAACATCATTGAATCAACTCATATCAAAACTAATGTATACATAATCAAAACATGTCATGATAAAACAATATTCGAGTAAAACTCTCGGAGATTTCATGTGCGAAAAATATAGTGTGATGCGCTGCGATTATGCCGGCTCCTTTCCCTTCGAAGAGGAAGTACCTAAAACCAAAACTAAAAATTGTAAGCACAAAACTTAGTGAGTTCCCCCATCATACCACATAATAACATACTGCCAAGCATATCAGGGTGCTCAGCCTACCCTGTCATGCATATCTAGGTGCCCGACCTACCCTGTCAAGCATATCTGGGTGCTCAACCTACCCTGTCAAGCATATTTGGGTGCTCGACCTACCCCGCCAAGCATATTTTGGTGCTCGACCTACCCTGCCAGACATATCTGGGTGCCCGATCTACCCTTCGGTTTATCTCAACCGGTTACGGGGACTATTTCACCCCTGCCACTACCACATAATACATAACATAAACATACTGTCAGACATATCTGGGTGCCCAACCTACCCTTCGATTTATTTCAACCGGCTCCGTGGACTATTTCACCCCTCCTACTACTATCACATAATATCATAGCATAATAACACATAAAGCATAACAGATAGTGGCATACCGTACAATTATCACAAAGACAATTATATCTACTATAAACAGCTACTAGTGGGCCGACATTGGTGCCTTCGACCCACTTCTACTAGAAGGTAACTCACCTTGAATATCGGAAAGTAGCTGAAAATCCTCAACTCCGACAATCCACCCAACTCAAACTCCTATACATAAAAGATTTCCTTGATTACCCTTTCACACTCATGACCCCTTAAGGGTCAACTTTGGTCAAAGTCAAAGTCAACACCCTGGTCAAAGTCAACATTTTGGGTTGACTCAACTCACCGAGTTGGCCCATCAACTCGTCGAGTTCCATAAATCATAAAACCCTAAAATCACAATCCAACTCATCGATTTCTTTCACGAACTCGTCGAGTTCCTCCTATCAACAGAATCAAGACTTCCCCACTCATCTCGTCGAGTCCGTCCTTGAACTCGAGTCCTTCCTTTCACAGAATCGGGAGACTCCGACCTAACTCGTCGAGTTCCTCTATGAACTCATCAAGTTTTTCAATCTGTTAAGTTATCTTAATGTATTAAGCCACTATTCTTCGAATCTAAGTCCCATATTCCAGATCTGGGTCAAATACACCTCTAGGAGGGTAAAGTTTCCGACTTTACCCATTAAGACCCATCCTAGAAGAAATAAGCCCTAACCCTAGCTCAAAATGGCTTAGTTCCAACTTCAAAAACCATCAAAACTTCAAGATAGGCCATAGGGTCATAAATTTGGACTCTAGGGTGTAACATCCGAACTTCTAGGTATATTGTTTATTTATTTATTTTGTGGATTATGGAGCAACTCGATGAGTCAGTGCTACAACTTGTCGAGTAGAGTCGGGTTGTGCCAAGTGGGATTAATGATATACTCGATGAGTTAGAGAGCCGACTCGCCGAGTACACGTTGTGGAGATAAACCCAAAATCCCCGAGTTTGGGGCCTATTTAAGGACACTTATAGCCTCATTTGCAGCTCATCAGCTGCTTGCCTTCACTGAGAGAAACCCTAATCGCCTTTTGTGCTAACAGAGAGAGTGTGTGTGAGTTAATATTGAATATTTTGGTACATCTTTGGAAGAGAAGAGAAGGATTTCAACCAAGGAACAAGAGGAGGTTGTTAGATCTGTTGTTATTCTTTTTTGGAATGGCAAATCTGTTCTACTCCTACACTCCTCCTAATTCTCCACCTATGTCCCCCACGGGACTTGAACCCTCGACCTCAAGGAGGGAGGGCAACACCGGATGCCGTTGGGCTAGAAGCCCTTTGGTAGATCTGTTGTTATTCATCTAAGAGCTTCTATAAAAGGTATAAAGTTTGTACCTTTCTCATTAGTTTGGGGTAGACCTCATATTATTGGAGTTTAGGGCTTTTTTCGATATAATATTGGGACTTTGAGTGTTTTAAGCACATATAGAGATTTGGACATCAGATTTGGACCTTGTGAGGTCCCTAGAGTCCAAAAATCCCTGCTTTATTCAGCCATAATGGAGCTTTGAGTGAAAAAACCTTAATACAACATGTTTTTGGCATTTCAAGCCCTAAGTGCCATGCATGAACGTAAAGCTCGTGGCTTTACGTGATAAGAAAGCCTTTAGAGCTTAGATCTAGAGTGTGAGAGGGTTTTCTTCCTTGAAATCGTCTGTTTAAGACATGGGTTTGAATGGACTCGCCGAGTCGATGAGCCGACTCGATGAGGCAGTTGGGGTTTTGTCCCGTTGAGTTAGCCATGCCATAGCTCGGTGAGTTAGGGGTTAACTTAACGACCTGGACCTTCACAAAGACTTTTGAGGGACGAGTGGACTCGACGAGTCACATGAGTGCACTCGGCGAGTCAGGTCAAACTTGGACTGTTGACTCGAGTTTCACTTCTATTGACTTTAGGGCTTTGTCAACATGAGTAATGGATACCATGGAGGGGTAAAATGGTCTTTTACCAATTCCAAGAATTTGAGAGAAAGAGAGAGCAACCTTTAGTGTATTAGAGTATTAATTAGAGATGATTATCCTATGAATTAGGTAGAGACTAGTTCGAGATTTCCGAGTACGCGACTTTTACTTGCTAGCTTACGAGGTGAGTCTTCTCACTATACTTACTATGAGTGGTATCTTCATGTGACTAAGATGTCTTATGTGCTTATGTAACGACCCAAAAATCATGACTAAAAATTTCTTTTAAAACATTACTAAAATCATATTTATAAAAACTGTATCATAAGTCATAACATAAATTCTCGAGTATTAATTCAAAACATAATATCAATATCAGAGTCAAACATTTCC